ATAATACAATCATACACCTACAAACTGCATTATTTAGTGATGGCAATTTTCATATCCATCACAGCTTTCATAACAAAATTGAGACTAATTGTGTTAATAATGAAGAGGTTGATTGATAATAATACCAAGGACAAGGATGATAGTAATATTGATGATATTGAAGGCCATTTATAACAACGATAGTTATAATAATCATAACAATGTTGTTAATGACATATCACTGATAATGGTAGCAACACACACACAAAATGAAAACAATACAGCAATAACATGAACAATAATGAACATAATAATACCAGCGACGTTCCCAATCATAATAACAGCACCTATTCGCACACCCACACAGGACGAACTAGAACAGAGAATCAGGGTGGCCTATAACTACATCTTCCTCCTCTACTGTGACTCAGACAAGAGAGTCCTTCCTAACGGGGGCTACTGCCTTAATGAACAAGACATCTTAGACCGGTGGAACTCTCTTTGGGACGGAGAGGTAGGAATGCGTGTTCTTTCGCGCCCTTGCCTTCCCTTGTTCTTCGGGCTTCGGGCCAGCGTGCGGCGGGGTTCGGCTGGTTCCCTCAGTGGCTTGAGGAAAAGGGCTGAGGCATCTCATTAACATGTTGGTTTTTCATATATATATACATATATATATATATATATATATATATATATATATATATATATATATATAATATACATATGCATATATATATATATATATATATATATATATATATATATATATATATATATATATATATAATATACATATGCATATATATATATATATATATATATATATATATATATATATATATATATATGTATATATATATTGAATATGAATATTATATATATATATTATATATACATTTATATATATGTATTTACCAAGTATGAATATTTTACATATATTATACATATATAGTAAATACTATATATATATATATATATATATATATATATATATATATATATATATATATATATATATATATATATAATACACGCAGATATATGTGTTTGTGTGCTGTATGTGCCTGCATTACCTATATGTGTTAAATATATTTGTATAGCACAGAAAATATGTGCATGAGAATGTATATTTCGACAACGCAATATATTTAATGCACGTACACTTCTATAGCACTAATATACTCCTTTGACCTACTATAAATTTTGGCTTTACCAACATCCTCTAAATACACCCTTCATAGTCAGAACGATGAATATTCACCCCAATTTCATTTTTTACATTCATTACTGGATTCATGTCATTTTAGTGGATTTAATTAATTCCTCGTTTCTGGACTAATCGATTCGTGCTCCATTAACTAGGATTCATGAATAACTTAATCTTGACATGGTATTTTACCTTTAGTCACACCAACCACGTTTCCAGAGTCTATGGTACCTAAACTATCCGTAAAACAGACATGGGAGAAAAGGGTGTCTATCCAGGACCACCAACCCTATCCTCCTCCCATCCCCCTCCCCTTCCCCATCCTTCATCCCTTCCCTAACCCCATCCGCAGCTGTAAAAAAGGTATGACTTAGAAAGGAAGCTCGTCAGAATACCAGATATGCATTTAACCTGTTTCGACGACATCTTCGTCGGATACACATATATTTCTAACGTAACCGATGAAATACCTATCTTGCATTGTGAAAATATTCATCCTCATGCCTTTTCTACATTTATCAGCATGAATCCGGTTCTCCCATGCCCATCACTAAACCCTTTTCCTCGATTTCTCACATATTTTCTCACTCGCATACTCACTCACTCGGCTTCTCTCCGCCAGATGTGCGCCTCGCTGGAAGAGATCTTCAGCGGAGCGACTGTTCTGGACATGGGGGCAGGGAGAGCCCACTACGGCCGATGTTTCCTCCGGGCGAAGGATAACGTCGTAAGAACAAATAACAAGAGAGAAGTCGAACGAATGAACCGCATGTATACAGAGCAGATGGAAAGGGGAGGTCTACTGAACAAGCATCAGGTGGTTAAGTCTTGGACAGGTGGGATATTGATGCCATGTGTTATAGTGTTATTGTTTTGCATAATGTTAAATTGTTGGATTTTTCTCATGTTAGAGAACATTGTTTTACATTATTATACATTATAGAAATTTAGTCTACATTATTTTACATTATAGAACATTATTTTACCTTATAGAACATTAATTTACACTATTGAACATTGATTTACATTATTGAACATTATTTTACATTATATAACATTATTTCATATCACAGAACCTCATTTTGTATTACAGGATTACAGAACATATTTTGGTATTAAGCATTGCACTGAATTAGTCATTAATCAATGTCAATCTGTCAACAAGTTTCTCTTGATTCTCGGTAATTACATCATCATCAGTATATACTTCATTTATTGGCCTGCCAGTCTGTAAGCATGATTATACGAAAAGTTTCAGATTCCTTGTGATAACATTTCAAAGGTGGTTTGTCGAGTGATAAGATTTTGGCCGTTGCC